GTGGCTAGTTCTCAAAGAAGTTAAAGATTCATTAACAGCCCATTACGGGCAATTGTGACAAATCGAAAGATTTTTGATGCCACAGTATTGCACTACGCCTGATGCATGGCCGAAGATTCATCGCCTTGAGCAGAGTTTGCTTCGAAAATTGATTGGGATTCGACCTTTTTTGATTTATTAAAGCTGCATGGATAAAAAGAACATTTGAGATGATTTCTAAGCCAAACTGACGTTCCATACACTGAACTGGAAGATATATAACCAAATTGATGTTTGGTTCACGGTCACAGTTTTACTGGACTTTTATCCGTTGATGATCTTCAAAGGAACTATTGTAGCTTAACAAGAGCCTGTCAAGTATTTAATTTCCTTCTGAAAAGTGAATTTTTACAGCATTTTGGATGCTTCAGACATCATAACGTTTATAATAGCATTTAGATGAGGGTGGATCCAAATCATTTTTATTTCTTATCTTCTAAAAAAATTATTTTCAAATGCCTAATTTCTCAAAAGATTTGCCAGTTGTCCAGCAATGGCTTTTTGCCTTATACAAGCCTTTAAAACATCCTCTCTGAAATCCTTGAACTCCAAGGCCGATCTCATCTTAGGATACATCTTTTCGTCCACGGTGTTGGTACGACATGCAAATCTATAGCCTCGGCGTCCTCGCTCTTGTCTACGAAAGAACTTTATTGAAGTTAGAATCTAAAACAACACATAATGTGACCATGACCACGGTAAAAATGTTAATGAAACAGTTGGCTTGTTAGCCAGAGAAAGCTTTGAATATGAGCGATATAAGTAGGCAAAAGCATAGAAATTCGCTCATGAGTATAGCAAAAGAGAAGAAGTTGCTTTTTTTCGTTGGATGAGCTCGTACAAGAGAATCTACTATTTAAATTAAGAGAAGAGGAATCTAGACTAGATAGGGATTCGCACAGAATAAGGTAACCATGATAAATAACCTGCTACTTACCAGGCTAAAAAGAAGCAAACAAGATAGCAATTACTCTTTGTCATGTGTGAGCATATGAACAAATAAGTTACAAGTAAAAGTAAAAATGGGTAAATGAATCTCAATAGAAGATGTTCATTCGATGGTAACACCGGCAAATCCCCAGGATTTGGTACTATAGTACGTGTAGCACAA